ATCTCGGTAATTGATCTCAGTGGTTAGTTAATCTTGGCAATTCTTTGAGAAATTCGTGTCATGTTATCTTTTGTCCGAGTCTGAATCTGGTGAATAAAATCTGGTGATTGAGGTGATTGAGAATCGTATGATGCAATATTAAGAGTAAACGCGAGAATTTCTAGCAAAGGGTTTTTGTGCAGAAATGTATTTTACGTATATATAACGACAATAGATTTCTCGAAAACTTTAAATTATGTAGGGTTCTTTGATTACTTAATACGCCAACGTATACTTGTATACTTGTATACTTGTATAACTTGTCTAAAAGAAAGTATTTCGAATCGAATAAAGTCATGTGAACTGTTGTTAACTCATTAAAGTACGTACGTAACTTGTTAATGTATTGTATTGTAACATGTGACTCTACAAAATATAAACGGTTGATATAAATGGTATGAAAAAAAAATAACGTAATTTATTTAATGTAATTATCTTATACGTATTTAGTTATGTCTAGACGAATTTCTTTAAATAATTAAACTTTCCTTTGGTTTTACAAAATGAATTCACCACAATTAAATTCCGATTTACATTCAGAAGTGGAACAATATGCTTTTACTCCTAGTTTCTTGGATCCTAATAGAATAAGATCGCGGCGAAATACTTTTACTTATGGTGATTTCTCTCCCTGCCCTTCTCCTACTGTTGCCTCTAGTTCTGTTGATGCTCATAGTGAACTCGTTCCTTATTCAAAAGAATGGACTGTTATATTGTAAGTAAATTTATCTATCTTTTGTTATTACAACCTTTTATTATGTATTTATAGAACGCGTTTTATGTAACGTCGCTTCGAAAAATTGTATCGATTATCAAAATGTTTTATTGAAATAAAGAAAAAATTTTATATCAAATTTTATATCAAATTTATATCAAATTATTCCCAGTTAAATAAATAAATAAATATATATATATATTTATTTATATTTTGGCGTAATTCATCTTCAGGCGTAGTGAGAACGCTGGTCAACTCGTTCTTTACAATACGACTAATCGTCGCGTTTCAGTACGACGGTTACCTCAAAATAATTCTAATCAGGTTTCTTCTGACGCCAACATGGTTAATTCAAGCATATTTTTTTAATCCAATTCTTTGTGGGAAACTTTGTTTAATCTTCCAGCTCATTTCATTATTTCTAAAAGGCTTTGTCTTCTCCTCATATGTGTGCGTTGTGTCGAAGACCCCTTCTTTCAACTACTACGGTTGGTTTTTTTATATCTCAAACAAATGTCTTTATTATATGTGTTTTTTCTTTATTTAATCTATATATATTTTTTTTAAAGACTTCTGAATCAGACTTTATGCACAGAAATTACTTTCGATTATTGGAGAATTCTGAAAAGTTGGTTAATTTTAAATATTTTTTATTATTCATTTCAAATTATTTATTTATTAATTAATTTAATCATGTCTTCAAATTAAAACTTGTCAAAAAAATTTTTTTCAAACTTTATTATTATAGCGTACTTAATGGACAGTCTACTCCATTCGTACAACCTTCAGATTCAACACAATCTTCTTCCTCCTTTTTGGATCCTATTGTAGAAAATATTTCATCCCTTTCTGAAAGCTCCTTTAATCAAGGATATTATGAAAGGTTTTTTATTGAAGAAAGAAAATTGGGTAGAGGTTCTCGTGGTTCGGTATTCTTGTGCAAGGTAAATTTATTAAGTATTATTTAAACATAAATATATTAAGTATTGTTTAAACATAAATATATTAAGTATTGTTTAAATACAAATATATTTATTAAATAATGTTTAAATTAATTTTACTCATTCATTTTTTTAGCACGTATTGGACAATGTTCATCTTGGTGAATATGCTATCAAGAAAGTAGCTGTAGGTAAGAATGTGTTAAATTTGTTGATTAATATTATATATTGAATTTGAAATATTTCATTTCATTTGTCCTTTATGTATTATTTCTTAATAGGTGATAATCATTCATGGTTGGTTAAAATGTTGAGAGAAGTTCATTTATTGGAAAGATTACATCACCCAAATATTGTGGATTATAAACATGCTTGGTTGGAGCATCACCAGTTAACAAATTTTGGTACATCAATATATCAATGATGTTTGTGACTATAAGACTATATTATAAGTGTAATATTTACGTGATTTCTATTTAATTTCTATGTAATTTCTATTTAATCTTTGTTGGATTTCTGTTGGATTTCTGTTGGATTTCTATTGGATTTCTGTTGAATTTCTATGAATTTCTGTTGGATTTCTGTTGGATTTTATTTTTTGATTTTTTTTTTTTTAGGCCCACCAGTTCCATGTTTATTCATATTAATGGAACGTGCCAATGGTGGCAATTTAGAAGAATTCATTGATGTTCAACCAACCACTTTTTCCATGCAAAAAGATTTTAATGAACATCTTACACCAAAAGAACGTTTACTTCGTGCGAGACGAATGTTTCATACTGGCCATCTAAGTGAACAGCCAACACTCAACTCTCCTTTACCTTCAAAACGACATTTGAGCCTTCGTGAAATTTGTTCATTATTTATGGACATTTGTGAAGGTTTAGATCATTTACATAAACAGGGTATCGTCCATCGTGATTTAAAACCTCCTAACTTACTATTACAATACGATAATTCGGAAGACTTGACTGGAATGTTCGTATGTCAATATCCTCTACCGTATTTACTACTTACTGTATTTTACCATATTTTTATT